GCTTTGGCAATAACAATACACAATGTACTAACCATTGTTACTCTCCTAAAATCTTGTTTTGAGATTTTGTACCACTGTTTTTTTTTTTTTCTTTAAAATAAAAATAACTGATGTCAATAAAAAAAAAAAAAGATATAGGAAAGGCATGGCATACAGCTCAGTGTGAAGTTCAATCCTCAATATGCGGGGAGGGAATCCTTTATGGACTGAACAACCCTTCCTTGTCTTGTAGACATACCACCTACAATGTATCTCCTGTGACAGCTCACTGGCCAGAGCCCAGTCATTGGGACCCAAACTAACTACAAAGGAAGTTGAAAATGTGGTGGGCTATTTATGAGGAAACTGAAAGAGAATCTGATAAACAGCAACAATTTGTGTATCACACACTAGGTTTTAGCTTTATTACCTTATATATAAACCTCTTAACAGTTCTGTAAGTTAAACTTAATTCTTTCTCTGTCTTTTTGAGACAAGGTCTTGCTATGCAGATCAGGCTGGTCTTGAACTCACTTTGTAGCCCAGGCTGGTCTTGAAATCACAATGATCCTTCTGCCTCAGCCTCCCTAGTGCTGGGATTTATAGGCATGCACCACCATGCATGGCTCATTTTTTCACCATGTCAGAGAACATTATTGTGTATCAGAGTGGTTTCAGATCCTAGTATATCTGCTTCTAAAACCATACTTGCACTGTATTTTATGGCCAACTAGTATTATCCACAAGGAAAGCATGGCAAATCCATTTCATCCACACATAAATTCAGTATCTTGAGCACTAGAAATTAGAGTAATTGATACAGAATAAATATTGAACTTAAGATTCATATGCTGTTTTCTATACAATAAAAGTGCAAGAAACAAATTAAATCACTGGAACAATAAAGACCAAAACACTACAGACACAATGTTTCAGTAGCATTTGGTTAAAATTTTATTTCTAATTTCTGAATCAAGAGATTGTTACATAAATTTTTTAAAGTTCAGAGTCACTGAAAAGAAAAAGCATTGTAGAGATAACTATCTGGAGCAGCTCTAAGGAAACATGCCAATCAATTTCGAAATTAATGATCCCTCCCTTTAAAGAAGGAAATAAACAAAAGTCACCATGGTTATTGAGACAATACCTCCTATCCCACATTATCACATACAAGGTGGAATGGAACAGTATTAGATCCCAGTGTATACTTTTAGAAATGAATTACAGTAAATGAAGCAACTGGGAACTGTGGTTTAAAAGAAGCATTATTATCTATACGCAGGGAATGCAGACTCCACCAAAAGGGAAAGTTCTTCTAATGGGTGATTTTTCCAAGGCAAAGACTGCCTTCACTTTTCAGTGTGAAACTAATTGACTAGCTGTGGACCTAACAGTTTCTATAAATAATGCTCTCAAGTTCAAGTGTCATTTGGTAGCTTCAAATATTTTGGACTTTAATTGCAGTTAAGAAATAATTGTTAGCCAGTGTAACAAAGAATCACTCCCATACACCAGCTTTATGAGGCAATTCGTGGGCCATACACTGTGATCTCTACTCTGCCCCATCCCCTCTCCTCCCTAGTTCTTACCCCTTTCCCCAAGGTGCTAGCATTGTCTTGGATTCACAACTTATGAACTGTAACCTACAGAAGGAAACTTCTCAGTATTTCTTACTATCACTTACAAATCACACTATATCAAGTCTTTCTTTTCAATTTATGTTCCATAGCTCCTAAGGAAAAGGCCTGCCACTGGGAATTACTGACTAAACACTTGAGCCTGAGGGACTCAACACCCTTTTTGGAAGATGCCACCTCGCTAAGATCCCACTACTTTAATGTCATCTTAATGTTGAGGTTCAACTTCATGTATTATCCTAATAACAAAAAAAATTTAGATGTGCGATTTAGCAAAGCAAAAAACAAAAATCAGCATGCCCTGGTAATTTGAGTTTTAGATAAACAATGATAAGAGTATTTTTAGTATAAACATACCTCATGCAGGAACAAGTATTTGGTTTTTTATCTGAATGCAAATATCTGGCAACCCTACTGGTGGTACACTCTGACCTTTTATGTGGAAGGTCTCAAATCGCAGTGATGGGCCCAGGAAGATCAGGATGTGGGCACTGCTCCTGGGAGGATGGGTTGCAGCTCAGGCTCCTTCTGCTCCCATTTTTATTGCTGGCAACACAGCTACAGTCTGTTCTTTCCACTGTGTGGCACCTTCTGAATCAGGGCACTAGGTTGGTGAGGCAGCACAAACTCTGCCCTCCTGCTTCCATTTGACCCTCGTTCCCCCTGGAACCACCGCATGCCAAATGAGACGCAGGCTGTCCCGTTACCATCTCTTGCTTAAAGGCCACGGGACAATGTTATTAACCCTATTCTGCCACACAGAATCTCAACCTGTCTTTCCTGCAGGACCCAGTTCCAGTAAATCTTTTCTTCTAGTGGAGGCACCCAACAGGGAGGACACAGAATCTCTTCGCAGGCCATGACACTCTTCTAGAACCTACACCTAGCTTCCCTGATTCTATACAAGTGACTTACTCTTCTCATTGTTGAAACACCACCAAACACCTAAAGTGAAAGGAGGAAAGTTTACTTGGCTCGGTCTGTAGAGATTTTAGTCTATAGTCAGCTAGCTCTAAGGCAGGGTGGCTTGGCAGAGGGGCATGCAGAACAGAAACAGTCCATGGCACGACACGGCATGTCATGGCAGAGCAGGCAGAAGTCAGCAAGCAGAGAGCCTGTCTTCCTTCTGTCCCTATTTCATTCTGTCTTCAAACCTACTCATACCCAGGGTGAGGCATTCTTAGTCCTAGCATCACGCTCTTAATCTTAGTATCATGCCCTACTCCTGCCACCTCCAAAATTTCCCACCTATAACCATTAAAACCCCTAACAAGCAAAAGTAGCCCTCTTAACAGGCCGATGATTCAGACTAACAAATCCAATCGCTTAATGGACATGATTCAGAAACATCTCAAACTCAATGACCCCCAGAGAATTCACCACCCCCTGCTATAACCCTTGCTGCTGCCCCTTTTTCCTGTATTTGAAAACTGAATGCTCCCTCTTTCATCATTACTACGTGGTACAGCTTTCTCAAGGAAGATCTCTGACCCGTGGATAAATGAGGACCTTTCAAGGCCCTTCTAACAGTTTCCAACTCTGTTATTTATGGAACTATGAGAAGCAGGGTGCTCTCTAATGAGGTGGTCATACAGATGGAGCCTGAGTGTGTGTTACAGCTCCATCACTTACTTGCTATGAACAAGTTACATAAACTGTGACTCATTTCCTCATCTGCCAACTGGGAGTAACTGTAGCACCTAAATAAGGACGCTGGAGGAATCAAGTGAATTAATATGTATAATGCCCACTAGAATTTTCTAATTGACTGAGATCTTAAGATCACTTGTACCATGATTTCAAGTGGAAGGTCATTTGAAGCACTTAAGCTGATATAAAAGCTCCCTGGGGAGAAATAAGATTACAAATCTATGGTGAAAGTGATGCTAGGAAGGCAAGAAAGCAACTGTAATGGAGTAGATGGCTGTGCCATTCACTGAAATAGGAACACACAAGAAACAGGGTTTGGGTAGGGAGAGAGGAATTTGTTTCTTACATATGCTGCATTTGAGATAAGTGCTTCAGGACAGCCGGTGGTGTCTTCAACATACAGAAGGCTGCTGAAATCATAGACTAGGATGAAAACTAGAGCTCTGGAACAGTCAAACATACAAGAACAAGCAAAGGAAAAGTAGCCAACAAAGATAGTAGCTAAAAATGACAATAGTAATATTTAGCTTTAAAAAGAAAATGTTGCTATCTGCAACAACATGGATGAATCCTGAGGACATTACTAGCCCCTATGAAACAGGTCAAACACCGAAAGGCAAATACTGAATGGTCTCATTTAAATAAGGTACCTAGAGCAGGTATAGAGATAAAGGAGAATGACGGCTGCCAGGTGAAAATGGAAATGTGCTCACCAGGCAGTGATAGTTGGGAAGGCGTGAAGAATTCTGGGACCTGGCGGTGCACAGATGTGAATGCACTCAGCACTACTTAGGGTGATTTTTATGTGACACAGACTATGTCACATAACCTATTTTAATGCAAGTCCTCAGGTTTGCTCAATGCCACGAACGGCACCTTTGCTGGCCTAAATGTGCTTCCTCAAACTTACATTCATATTCTATTTCTTTACCTTTCAAGTGAGAAAACTTGTACTGTTCTTGGAATACCTACTTTTCTACTTTCTACTCAATACCCCATAAACTTGTCCTTCATTAACAACCACATTTCTTATACTTTCTCAGCTCTTTTATAGGGATTTTTTTTTTTTTCCAATCAATAAATTCAACTCAGATTTTACCTCAATGTCTGTTATGGTGTCTAGTTGTCCCTCCAAAGCCTCATGTAGTTAATGGGGCAGACTTGCAGAATTTGTGATTAGTTCATGATCTAGTGTTGGGATTGTGGGTGTGAGTGCTGCTGGGATTATGGGTGTAAGTGCTACACCTGGCCTGCGGCAGACAGCCTGAATGCAGTATTAAGGGAGACAGCCTTGCTCTCTGAGGCCACTGTTGCTGCTGCTCCTCCCTTTTTGCTCTTGCTCTTGGCTGTTTCCTACCACCATGAATTCCTGCCCTCTGCCACATGCCACTCTGCCTTGGAGCCAGCCAAGTGTGGACTGAAAGCTAAATAAAACTTTTCCTTCCTTAATTTTGGGTGTCAAGTATTTTGTTTCAGCAATGAGAGAAAAGTAACTGAGACAATTGTCCCCTAAGCCTCTCTCTCAATATTATTTTTCTCAATTTAGAAGGTAAAATCTCTAACATTTTGTAACTCTTTACCTTTTCATTTGGTTCTGCTGCCCACAGGGTAGATTTCTGCCTAGCGCTGCTCTACAATCTGAGTTTCCTCTGTGGCTACTTCTGTCTTCCTTCCCTGTGGCTGTTCACTGGGCCTCCGCGTTCCTCTTCAGATACTGCTGTGCTAGTGTGGAACTGAGGGTACAAAAGGCAGGAAGACAGGGACAGCTGCAATAAGATTTCCAGTGAATGGGGCCAGGGTGATAGGACAGTGGCATAAGTGCTTGCCTGGCAAGCACAAAGCACAACGTCCTGAGCTCGATCCCTGGTACAACCCAAAAAAAAAAAGATTTCCAGTGAAAGCCAAGGAAAAATCAGTGCTAACCACTTACAGAGACGTAAAGGAAAGAGGGGCGCTGGTGCTGCCAACAGGCTGAAGACTTCAGTGGGTGAGTGGGAAAGAACAGGTGGCTGGTGCGAGGGCAGGAGAGGCTGGGGTCTTTGCCCCCTCAGGTCAACCATCCCTGAACTTTTCCCTGGAGCCCACTACCAGATAGTAAGAAAGCCCAGAAAAATGTAAAGCCAAAAATATTTTTTCTTGAAACATTCTCCTCACTCTGGGTTGCAGCTGAGTAGCTCTGACCCACTGTATGCAATGTGATGAATCCTCTGTTGAAATTCCAGTTGCTCTCTCTCCCCAAGAAGGCATGTCATAATGCAAGACAAGAGGCGAGTGTGATCTGCCAACAGCTGTGTCCTCAAGCAGTTGGATTTATTTAGCAGGGGCAATCATGTACAAAGGTCAGTCCTTTAACAGTTCCTAGGAATAATAAATGTGACACATGCATATGTGATCCGCACACATCATACATAGTGAGGTAATTGGGCACAGTGGCGGACCATTAATTTGCATCAGCCTGCGGCTTTTCTTTTTTTAAACTTGCTTTGAATAGTTTCCAGACACTACCTAATGAGTGTTTGTGGGGCTGTTGGACTCCCTGCCTATAAATTACACTCTCTCATTGTTCTCAAGGAGACCAACGTTGGCTGAGGGTGGCCAAGTGTGCAACAATTTTTTGTCCCAAAATAAAAGTACAGAAGAATGAAGCTCATACTTAACAATAGAGCAGAGAAGGTGGGCACCACAGCACCTGTCTGTAGCCCCAGCACTCAAGAGGCCTAGGCTGGAGGATCCTTTGGGATCCAGGCTAGCCTAACAAACCACATCAAAATTAGTGATTGAGGGATTAACAAATGTATTCTTTTTATGATTAATGGCAATTATTACTGACAAATATTTAAAATGTTGCTTATAATCAGAAGTGGCTCTTCTACTTTAAAAGCCATTAAGAGAGGAAGGAATTATAAGGACAGTTAGGTGTGGGGATTGAAGGATGCAGAAAACCACTGATCAGAGGCCTCGCTAACCCCCTCCCAGCACAGCTGCACCTAGTGACTCGTAATCAGTTCTGCTGCTGGCTGGAGCCGGTACTTCTTGTGCTTTCCGAAGTCTGTTCCTTCAGCAAACATCCTCAGTGGCTAGCCACAACACCCATTCACTGACCACCCTCCCAAAAAAGAAAAAAAAGACCTCATACCTGCATCAGTTACTGTTCTGGTCTCCAGTGCCAGAGCAGCTTCTCTCAGCTTTGTTCTGAAGTAAACCTGTCCTACTGAGCTCCTAGCCTGTTTCTTTTTCTTTTTTCTTAATTAGGGTAATGGTTATGACTGGTTTCTTTAGGGCTTTTTCAACTCCTGCTACATGAAGAGATGCCTTAGGCAGAAAAAGTTAGATTAGGTCAGGCTTTGATGAGTTGGTTACTAGGATCAATCCCAACTTAGAATCTAAGAAGCACAAATACAGTATTCCTATCTGAATTTGATCAAACTTGAAGTAAAGGATTTTGTCTCCAAAAAGGAGTACCTTGTTCTTCCTCTTGCCTTCAGGACGTTGTGGGGACCAACCCACTCCTGGGGGACGTTCTGGATTTGTTTCACATCCCACTGAGCACTTCTGAACTGGGCTTGATTTTTACTGGTTGTTTCTCAGTTAATTCTTGAGAATGAGTTTTCTCTTTTCAAGTGATCTAAAATGTCCTGAAGCCAAGAGATACATCTATATTCCAATGTACTCGCTGAAGGCTTCTCTCTTCCACATTTCTCCCTCTGCATTCTTCTCACACACACACAGAGGACCCACACGGAAAACTCAGGCTCCAGGGATCTGTACTCACTGTTTCAGGGCAACCCCCACTGGTGGAGCTGGTCTAAGGAAACACAGCAAAGGGCAAGCGGGTCTTTATGTGCAAATTCAGATTTAAAGAAACCTGGTGACAGCTAGAATTTGCACAAAGGTATTTAAAAAGCAGACTGGCTTTCATTATGATACACATGGTTAGGGACCCTGAGAAAACAAGAGACCAGGTGAGAAACAAGAGTAGCTTCCTGAGAGCAAAGATATTCAGGGCTTTCTCTGTTGGCCAAGGGAAAGGGCACCGAGTTCGCTCACCTCTGAAAGCTCACTCCCCAGCAGCACTCTGGCATTTCTGATTATTATCTGTGAATTTCTAAGGGCACATATTTATAGCACTCTTTCCAGCTTCAAAAAGGTTCCCAGACCCAGGGTTTCACTTGGTTCTCATGAATACGTTGTGGAGGGTAAAGGACAGGTTTCATTATGCTCTCGGTATAAAAGGAAACTAAATCTCTGGAGCCCACAGAAACCAGAGGAGAGAGGATCTAAGCCTGCAGGTAAACAGTCACTGAATAGATACAGAAGTATATGAGGGATTTAAGGTAAACAGGGTATCTGCTTCACTTCAACAAACTCATAATCTAGCTGAGAAATGCCCCAAACAGCACATAAATTAGACAAGACCAGACACAAAGCAGTACATTCATCCATCATTGTACACCGAATCAAGCAGCTCCATCACTATTTAAGTGTAGCTATATACCTTTCGCTCCAAGAGTCCTTCCTGTCCTACCTTCCTATCAAGGTGCTGCTTAATATTTCTTATGGTGCCTAGAAGGTCTTTAGCTTTATACTTTCACTATGGCAGTGTGTAGTCTTGTCAGAGTCTATTCAATTCGGTATTTACAGTGCAATGTATGGCGAAAAAAATTAAAACAAACAAATACCATTTTTTAAAGCTACAGGAGACATGAAAAAACAAAAAGGGAACATTTTTCTTTAGTATTCCAGATAATTCCATCCACATCACCTGGAACTGCTGAAAGGATTGACAGGCAGAAACTGATGCTGTGACTCTCGAATTACATGTGAAGAGACAAATCAAGGGGGAGCATCAGGAAAAAGTACTGACCAAGCCAAGGAAGAAGTAAGAGAGAAGTGAGGAAATGGCACGATTGGGACCTCCAGCCACACAAGGAAGTCTGATAATTTACGTGTAGTTAGAGGAATAATAGATCATTCGAAATTGGGATTTCCCAAAATGTGAGATGGCACTAGCTGACACCTATTACCCTCCATAAAACACGAATTCCCCTAAATGCCTCCTCCTTCAACTGGGGGATTCTGTAGCCTATTACATGGAGACTGGTGATGTTCACTCCAGCAAGGGAGATCACATTAGCAAAAACAGATGAACAGTAGGGAAAAAATCCTCACATGTCTACTGTCTGCTGAATGGATATACACTGGAATGTTATGGCGCTGTAAGAAATACTGCAATTCTGATTTATACTATAATGGGTGAAACTTGAAAACTATACTAAATAAAAGAAGTCAGATATGTAATGTATGATTCCAATCAGAACAGACTAAGACCAATAAATAAATAAATAGATAAATAAATAAATAAATAAAACAAAGAACAGACCAAGTGGTAGACAGAGAAAATAGATCAGGGGTTGCCAGGGGCTTAGGAAGGATAAATAGGAAGTGACTGATAATTATCATTGTCTTTCTTTATGGGTGACAAAAGTGTTCAGGAATCAGTGGTGATGGCTGTACTGTAAAAACCACTTCATGAAAAAAAGGTAGATGATGTTAAGAAATTTACTTTGAGCTTAAGGAAGAAACTGAACTGCATTAGTATGGTATCACTCTGGGAACACATTCGAAATATGAAAAAAGAATAAACATAACGGAAAACTTATTTATACAAATAGCCAGAAAGGAAATAAACATGAAGATGAAGGAGGTGAATGACATCAAACAAAAGCTAACTGGTGTTCCAAAAGAAGAGAACAAATGATACAAGAAATGGTCAAAAGTACTAAATGAAAACTTCTACTGCATTACAAGCGGTAGACAGACTACGAATACAGCACTTCACATGCACTGTCTCATTTAATGCTCAGGATAATGGAATAAGGTTAGGGACTACCATCATCCCTAACTCATAAGAAAATAGAGGAACAGACAGCTCTAGTAACTTGCCAAAGAAAAGACTTCAGGCCAGGAATACAGCTGAGAGGCATAAGCGCCTGCTTGGCAAAAACAAGGTCCCAAGTTTGATGCCTGGTACCAAAAAAAAAAAAAAAAAAAAAAGAAAAGACTGCAATGGGTGGCTGAACTGGAGTAAAATAAAAATGAAGATTCTTCACATTTAAAGGATATAAAGCATCTAGATTAAATCATTCTGATCCAATTTTTCAAATTACTAAGATAAAGGAAAACTCACATGGGCATCTAGACTGGAAAGCTCAAGTTTCTCCAAAAGAAGCGATAACTTAGCTTCTGACTTCTCAGTATCAATTAGCATTAGTTGGTCAAAAGATGTGAGTAAGGCCAATAAATCCTGAGGAAAGAGGGACAAGACTTTTTTACCTTCTTAAATTTTTAAAAGAATACAAAACAGTGATGAAAAAACAGCATTAGAGACCATACAAAATTTCACTAAACAAAGTAATAGGAATTCAACAATGGTTGCTATATTGTCTGACATTATCTTCAAGCTAGTCGTTCAGGTTACCAGATAAAAATGTGAAAGATTAGATTAAAGAAAAAAAAAAAAAACAATAACCAAAAACTTGTAAGAAATTTAAAAAAAGAAATAAAAGGAAAAAAAAATTAAACATTAACTGCTCCTTTCAGAAGACCAGCAGAAGTTTGTAGTACAATTATCTAAACCATTCTGCATATATACATAAATATATATATCTTTTTCCCTTCTTTCATTTGCCAAGACTTTTATTGTTGACCTTCCTTCAAGAAAAAGGGCTGAAACTTCTGTTAGTAGTTCCTGAGGTTCACTACTAGTCAAACCTCTCTTGTCAGCCAACACAGCAGCAGCTGGCTGGCCAAGGTTGAACCTTATCTCACCAAATTCTTAAAACCTAGGGATGAGATGCCACAACCAGCATGTCACAACTGTCTTTGCTACAGAACAGTTAGTTATGAATTAACTGTAAAATGCTTCTTGCATGGTCTGTGAATGACTCTGTGTGGGGACTGTGGAAAACTTCTGGGTTTCTGGTGTAGTGACTGGTTGGATGACAGAGCCATATGCCACAAACAGGAGTGCAGAGAGAACATGCAAAGACTAGAGTTTAGTTTTGGGCAAATGAAGTAGGGATAACTGAGGATACTAAGGGAGATGTCAAGCATGAAAGCAGACAGATGGGCCTTTAGGACAAAGGAGAAGGGGGCCTGGGTGTGTAACTAGGGTGTATCTGACACAAAGCTTAAAATGGAAGACTGATGACTTTGGGGGTATCATCCAAACACCAAGTGTAAAATGACAAGTGCGTGCCAATGAGATGCCCAAGAAGCTTTGGTATTTAGATACCAGGCATTGAAAAAGAGGAAGCAGCTAGGTAGGAGGTCTGAGAAGAGTCAGCCAGTAAGAAGGAAACTTGGGAGAGTGTGGCAAGTGAGGGGGAGGATACTGAAGGGGAAGAAAATGGCTGAGCTTGCAGGAGAGGAACAGTGACAAGGCAGGAAGTGAGTGTGTGGCTGTTTCCCTACAGATCAGAATTTTTAAAGAAGCTTTAGGATAAAAGTACAAGAAAGTAACAAGTACACACACTGACTTTTGTATTCACTAGACTTCATACTATAGATAGCATAAAGAACACTTGCCTGGGTAAGGACAAGCCCAGGAAGTTAGGAGAGTAATTCAGTAAATACCCATTTTCTAAAAACAGTATCTCCAAAAAATATAGGTCTCAGAAAAATATGTGTGAGACAATGGCTCAGAAAACATAAAAAAAAAAAAGGTACATGGGGAAACACTTTTACTGCCAGTTTTTAAAATGCAGTATCACCTGGCCAAGAATGGGGGCCTACTCCTGTAATCTAGGCACTCTGGGAGGCTAAAGCAGAAGGATCATGAATTTGAATCCAACTTAGCCATTTGGTGAGATCCTCTTTTAAAATAAAACATAAAAACAGATAGAAAGTTCACTGTGAAGGTCCTGGGTTCAATTCCCAGTATCAATGAACAATATTACAATTAGCTAGAACAACTAAACGATGTGTTAACATAGATAACTCAGTAACTTGGAATGGAAAGCCCTGCACATTAGTTGGGTGCACAGTTTAGTACTTTAGTCCCTAGTTATCTTCCTCCTATGTGGAGAGGTCGGAAATCCAACTTCTTTGCCATCTGGCCAGTTAGGTGCCACTGAGCCCAGCTATGGAGCATATAAGAAAGACAGTGGTCATTCTCCTGTCATTTCAGGAAGCATCCATGGGGAGGAGCCCATCTGGTATGAACAACCCCTCAGCCATACCTGCCAGATGTGCAGTCCACCTTGCTCACTCACATCCAAATGACAGTCCAGGAGATCCAGCTGGGCTCACTGCCTGCTGCTGCTCCTCGAGGAATAGCCGATATAAAACGCTCAAGCTTACTTCTGGCAGAGCACGTACCGGAAGACCTCTTAGCAGGCAGCAACTTGTGCAGTGTCAAGTCTTTTTATATAAAAAGACTAAAAAGTCAAATAAACTGAGAGAACAGCTACAGGTAGGTAATAAAAGGCTGATAATCTGAAGAGTTCTTACAAAAGAATGAAACAAAGGTAGGTCCAAATGGGCAAAAGATATGAATAAGCAATTTGCAAGTGATGCATAAAAAGAGCAATTATTAAAATAAAACAACACTAACAAATTGGTTCTTTTATTAGATGGGAAAAGATAATATCTTAATCACTTCCCTCATCTCTGGGACAAAAACACCTGACACCTGAAAAAAGGGGTTCATTTTGGCTTACAGTTTTAGAAATTTCAGTTCATAGCTGGCGACCTCAAATGCAGAACAGGCAGTGAACAGGCCTCCTGGGGAGGAGAGCTGCTCACGCCCGCTGCAGCAGTCAGAGAAGGCAGAAGGGACAGAAGCACACGTCCCCAGTTCAAGCCTGCAGGGAGCCCCATCACGGGATATCTATCTATCTATCTATCTATCTATCTATCTATCTATCTATCTATCTATCTCCTAAAGGCAAATGAGCCTCCACAATCCACTCACCTTCCAACAGCTCCACCTCTGAACACAGGAGCCATGTAGGGACCATTTAGATCTAAAAATAACCCCCTCTACACTCCACCTCATTATATATTTAATCCATCTTTAACAGGTGCCAAAGTTTTAACAGTTCTGCATGAATAAAAAATATGCCAGGGTGCTACAAAGGAGATTATTTATCTAATGTGATTTTTAACAGCTGCATACTGTTTTGCCACACATAGGTTAACTTCATTGATTACTGAACATTTAACTGGAGTATTACACAAGGATTAAAAATAGATTTAATATGTTTTCATTTTTTAAAAATTTTCTTTATATAAGTAAAAACTCCAATGGTTTAGCCATTATTAGAGAATCTTAAACAAAAAAATGATTTCTTTTTATAGGTTTCCTTGCTCTTATAAACACATGATACAGTCTACCATTTCAGTAATTTTCTTTGGTTGTAACTGTTCCTATTGTCTATTGTACTTTATACTGCCATCTAATCGTGCAGCTACTGCTATATGTGGCTGAGGGAAGAGCCCACATGCGCCGACCTGCTGGACTATACCACGGTATCCCTGTATGCAGACACAAAGCTCTAAACTGAGAACATCATTCTGTGGTGTATCTGCTTAAATGCATGTTTATTTGAATCCAAAATGTACTCTTCTTTTATGGTGGATGATCTGAACACACAGTAAATGGGAGTAAAGACATTTTCAGCAATTGTTAAAGGAGGTTGGCAGCATCTGAGAAAAGAAACTGGTTAAAAGAGTAATAACTTGGGAAGCTGCCACTCACCAAGTTATCCATAGGTAAAAAGAAATAAAGGTTGGATCACAACATTTTAGCACTGAGCAGGACTCAGTATCCAGATGCCCTGAGGGAGATGTGCCTATGTGTACTCACCCAGAGATATAATCAGTGCAGGCATGTTGCTGCACTTAGGTGTCTATATATTCTGTTGTTTCTATCTCCAGATTTCCCTAGAGCCTGGACAGATTCCACAACCACTGGGCAGAGGACTTTGTATCCCAGCCTGCTTTGCATCAGGTACATTTTGTGAAGGCTCTTCTTTGTTTTTAAAGGGATGGTACAATATGCAGATTCTGAGCCAAAGGCTGTATTCCATGATTATGAACCTTTCTAGCACCTAAAACAAAACAAAACAAAACAAAAAACAGGCCAGTCAACACAATGGCCTGTAAACTTCACGCATGCAGAATCCGAGGGCTGTACCTAGATATGCAGACACACTACTTTTCCCATGGGGTGGTGGAGGAAAAATAAAAATAAGAATACTTGTAATTATTAGGCTACAGGCAGGAAAGACATCACAATGGTTGCAAGATGAGATTTTTATGCCAACAGAGAGCATGTCTTTTTTTGACCCTCTATGAATTTGTCACAAAGACCATTTACCAAATAGTTCTGCTATGCCAGGTGCAAAGTGCTTTATTTAGATTCAATTCTTTTTGTGTATGTCCCAAGATTTTGCCTTCTCTATTGATTGAGAGTGAGGTACTGGTTTCCGTTTGGCACTGTCCTCTGTCCTTCAGAGTAGGGCTTTAATGAGGTTATTACCCAAACACCTGATATTAATACCCAAGGGAAAAACATGTGGTTAAGGCAGATAAGGTTTCCTATTTACAGTAGTATGATTAGCAGTACCAATAATAGCTAGTGAAATTGAGAAATTGACAAACTTTTGTAACTAATGGGTTTGCACTTTACACCGCAGTAGCAAACATTATAGCTATATAACAAAGCAGATCTGAAAGTGGGCATTTGTATTTAAATTAGTTCCCCTGAGTTCTGTCTGGTTGCTGCCCCTTCATGCTCCTGGAGTGTTCCAGGCGGACTAGCTCACCCTGGTTACCTGCTGCCAGCTCTGTGCCATGAGGATGCTCCTACAGTTCTGGGCTTCAGTGTGGCCTCAGCTGGGTCCAGCAGTACACCTCAGCTCACCAGGTCTAGATCTACTGGACTTGAACTTGAACTCAACCTGGGTTGGCTTGGGTTGCTGTGTTCAGCTCCTTCCAGATGAGCCCAGTCCAGGTGGGCCTGTTGCGTTCTGCTGGCTGCCAGTCCCATGGCTCTTTCCCGGTGGGCCCACTTAGGTGTAGTTGGCCTGCTGTGCCGGGTGGCTGCCGGTCCCATGGCTCCTTCCCAGTAGGTCCATCAAAGTGGAGTTTAGATTCCATTCTCACGATCTTTTGCATTAGGTACTTTTATTCTCTACATTTTACAGACGAAAAAGGCAAGACAAAAGGATAAGTATTTGCTCAATAACTCACAAGAGACCCAAGTGGTCAACTCTGGCATCCATACTACCAGCACTACAGCAAAAAGACCAACAACTTGTCTCTAAAAGCCTTATCACTTCACTGCTTTCAGTGTGGTGAGTTTAAATTTCTCGAGAGCATTAAAACTAAAGAAGATGATAACAACCAGGGGCATTTGAAGTTGACTGGCTCCCGGGACAATGGGATCACTGCTCAAGCTTAAGCTTTCCTAACTGCTACAGAGATGTTTGATGTTGAGGCTTGGGCTGAATATGCTGTGGAGCTGGCTGCAAAGTGCTTTCCTTAAAACAGGTGCTTTGACCCTTACTCCACTATCCTTGCAAGTGCCATCTTGTCCTGGAAATTGGCCAGTATGACAGAAGCCCTGGAGGAGGAGCAAAAGAGGAAACAAAAATGTCAAGAAAACACTGCAAAAGCTAAACAACTGAAAAAAAGTCTGGAGGGAGGTATAGGCTCAGCAAGTAGAAAAAGGTCATTTAGGAAATGATGCAGCTTTGGAAGGACCCTAAAAGTTTCTTTAGATTTCATGGAAATTATTACTGTCCTTCAGAAAAATTGGCATGGAATTTGACCTTAGTACTATAGTAACTTTTAGATCTTGGCATAGATGTCTGGTGGTACCCACTGGCAATTATTATAAATTACTGATTTTATTGGTTGAGAATCTCTGATGCCTAACCGAGAATACTCCAGAATCCAAGTTACATGCACAGATGATGCCACCAGTAGAAAATTCCACAGCTAACCTCTGATGGTCTCAGTCAAAATATAGATGCGCTAAAAATGTATAAAATTTCTTCCAGAATATAGGAGACAAATGAATTCGCATTATGTATATGCAAATACACCAAAATCTGAAAACATCTAAAACATTCTGGCTACAGGGAGAGGAATATTTGTATCTATAGTACAAATCCTTTATCACTGACTTAGTCATTTGCCATGTGTAGACACAGTCTGAAATACAAACAACCTGTGGAAACAAAAGAATTTACATTAAGAACTCTATTCAAATAGTAGTTTAAAACAGGGTCCTGTTCTGGACAAAAGATATTAAGACTTACTCAAACTTGTCCTCTTTGAGCTGAAAATTTTCTTGGGCTTAAAAGAGACACAGTATATTTATCACACCTTTCATCATTATTGTTTATTTCTTATAATCATTTGTGGCACTTGCAAAGCAAAACTGTATTAGTTAACAAGTACATCTATTCTGTATTTTTGAGTTTGGTCTTGAAGACAACTGGTAGGTATCAAGATATTTTGCTTTTAAAACTTAATTTTTACAAAAACTGTCTTATTTTGACTATGTACAGTATTTGAAGTAATTTTTATACTTATACTGCTACTTCCTTAGAGATAAGTTTTTAACAGTATGATTTGAAACTTGTAGTGAAAATGCCTTGGAAGCATTTTTTTTCTTGCACTAAAATGTGAAATAGCTAAAACGTTTTATCAGATAATTTGCTCATTACAGAAGTAACACTTTTTGTTTTTATTCCATTTTTTTTTTTTGTTTTAACTTACCTGGTAACGACATCCTGTACCTTTTAGTCAAACAGTATTGGGTAAAAATTAAAACTTCAGGTTTTTAAAACAGCTCTTGGGCTGGGGAGATGGCTCAGTGGTCTAAAGCACCTACTTAGAACAAGCTTAGCAAAAAAGCACAGGGACTATGGTTCAATCCCCCAGCACCACATGCC